GTATTCATTTGCCTATAAGGCTTTAGCAGCCTATCGCAATATAGGTTCAAGTGAACCAGAGGTACATGGGGCACAAGGGAGAAGAGATAAACAGAAAATAACCCACGCCAACAACACACATGACAGGGGGAACAGCGAGGGAAAACACAACAAAGAGCACCAAAGGAGAAATCTAACGGCATTGGCCAGCCGGACCAAACCACGACACTGCACCGTCGACGCAATCGAAAGGCCCACGCATCCGAGACTGCACAATGCCGCGACACCACCTGTGTCGCGAGGCACCTTCGAAGGGACACGCGGGGCCGAGACGACGCCACGGCACCTGTGTGCCACCGGCATAGTCGAAGGGCATCGCCTAGCAAACCCAACCGCAGCACTGCACCATCAACGCAATCGAAAGGCACCTCACAACCGAGACTGCACAACGCCACGACACCACCTGTGTCGGGGGTACATTCGAAAGGTTATGCAAGGCCGAGACGACGCCACGGCACCTGTGTGCCAACGGCGTAGCTGCAGGGCACCGCCAAGCAGAGACGCACCGAGGGGCACTCGAGCACGACACACACCACCGTCGGCCCCCAGACTGGCCGCACCACCACCTCCGACCACCCGCTTCAAACCAGCCAAGCACCACTCCCAGACCTCAGCAAACAGCATGGAGCAGCCTCTCCGAAGACAGGTGCCACCAAGGTGTAAAAACGACGTCAAGGACGCTGCCGCCGTCCGACCCAGCAGCTGGATCTAAGGCTTTCGCCCAGAGAAAGAACAGAGTACGCAGGGAACAGTGCATCACACAACGGCACCTCCAAGGAGGGATCCGACGCCGAAGGGCGTCGCTGCCGCCGGTGCCGACCGAAGTCGACACAGGGCTTTCACCAGAAGCAACACCCCGCGCCACCCGTTTGCTAAGCCATGCCGCTGTTGAGACCGGGAGACACCACCGCCCGGAGGCACCACCCTCCAGCAACGACAGCCACCGAGCACCCGCACAACCAACACCAGACTGCCGGAGCAGCCACAGGGGGTGAAAGCGCG